CTCTCTGTCTCTCGTCTTTCCGTCTCTCTTCTCTCTCTTCTCTCGCAGGAGGATCCGGGCAAAGAGCCACATATAAAGGACTCTTCACCCCTGCCTCCAAAAAGAGCGCCGTGCTTTTTCCTACCTCGCTGCCCTCCACTTTCCCATTCTGGAGCGCTAGCTTTCGCCCCCCCCCTTGGCCTCAAGTTTACAGGATGTCGGGGCGCTGGGAAATAGTTCTAGCCGCAGGTTTGTAGAGCCTGCTGCACCAGTTTTGGGTTGTGGAACGTGTGTTGCTCAGAATCTCAATGTTTAATATGCCACAAAAAATAAACGCGTCGTAACTCCGGCGCAATGTCCCATAATTCCGGCGCAATGTCCCGTAAATCCGGCGTCATTTCTCGTACTCCGGCGTAATTTTCCAGACTCAGTCTTTGGAAGGCTTTGAATCTTGAAGGTTTTGACTGGAACCATGAGTTCTGCTACGTTTTTTAGGGGGTCGAAGTCTTGAGGCAAAAAAAAGTCCTGGAGAGCAACCCACTTTGTAAAAGAGCTGTAGAGACACGGTTGCAGAGAAAGAAGGGTTCCTTGCCACATACTCCTTGGTTTGTTTTTGGACATCTTTGCTTGGGCACAAGTTTGCTTATATTTTGTGAAGGTTCTGCTCTTAGGCATTTCGGAAGATGGGCGAGGGAAATGGGAACTGGAAGGCTCCAGTGATTGGGTTGTGGAATGAGTGTGTTCCAGAAAAACTATACTCATGGCGCAAAGGCAGTTTGCTTGTGTATGATCCAACCTTTCATCATCTCTGTTTATGTTCAAAACCTTGGATCCGGCTGTCTTTTTCCAGGTTTTCGGCGTTTTTTCGGAATCCGGCGGAAAATTTTGCCGGATTGCGGTCCGGCACTCTTTTTTTTGCCTAAAGGAGGATCCCAAGACCTAGAGGAACCGTTGGCAGAAATTCTTGCCGAGACGCCAATGTGCCCTGATTTCAGCCAAATTCATCGAAAAGCGCCGAGTCCAACAAAAAAACACCGAGGAATATGAAAACTGCCGACTTTAATGGTTTTCACTTGCTAGATTCTCAAACCAGCACTTGAGAGATCTTGCCAGTCTTACCAAGCCCTTCCCAGCCCTTTCCCAAACCAAGCCACAGGGTGACCATCCACAGTTTGGGCTTACATGTGAGGACCGAGGGATTGGCATCCACAGTTTGGATACCTTGGAATCCTTGCACCTGGGGACAGAGATATTTAATCCACAGTTTGGGAGTGCTTACAAAGAATACACTCAAAAGTGATCCAACAATGTTTGTTTAAGTCTATGCGCCTTGGAGGGGTTTTCCGGACCTCCTTGATATCGCCCCTACTGTTTTCTTGAAAGGCTAATCCAGGCAAGCCAAGTTCTGTCTTTGCTTCTCCGGATCACTCTCCAAAGAATGCTTTACCCTTTCATGATCCAACCTCCCTTGACAAGGGTGGTGGTAGAACAGCTGCAATCCACAATTGGGTCATTAAAAAGATCTTTCCAGTGCAGCCATCCAAGATGTTGATTCACACATAGGAACCCCAACAAAGCAAAAACATGGTTACGGACAATTGCGCCGAATTGTCGGGGAATTACGCCAAACTGTCGGAGATTTACGCCGAATTATCGGGCAATTACGCCGAGATCTAGGGATGACAAAACGATTGAAAACTGTGAACAACTTGGCTGAGACATGCTGAGACGATTTCACGCAAGGGTGCCCGATCCAATTGGTTCACGGTGAGTTTATGTTGAATTATGCATGGTCAATGCACAGTCTTCTAACTTTCACCTTGGTGATGGAATTAAATCTCTCCATTCACCGGGTATGTTCAGCAGCTTTGTGCCACTGTAATGGGAAATCAGGGCAGAAGGTTGCATCGGGCCACAGAAACCATTTAAGCATTTCCCCCGGGCCTTCTCATTTCTGTGATTTTAATAAACGGTTTCCTTGATCGGATCCATGGCTGGATTTGAGTGTTACAATGAATCCGTAAGCCAACTATGCTTGGCAAGAGTTAGGAACTACTGAAGAAAAACACTGGGCGTGAACAGCCAGGGCGCACCTCAAGAATGCCCGGTTCACCAGGTATTTGAACCCTAGAGGATTGTCGAGCCGAGTTATCAATATTATTTTGTAATTCAGGTTGTTCTGCATCGAATAAACCAATTAATGTGTTCAAGGACCTCAAAAACCAAAAGCGCCGAGTCTATCTTAGTTTTAGCTAATTACGCCAAATGCCCCTTTTCAGGGCAAATTACGGGTAAAGGCGCTTTTTGCTGAGGTGGCAGAAATTTTGGTGCACTTGGAGTCTCTAGGTATATACCACCCGCACTCCGTGGTCCCTGGTGCTGATCATGTTTGGGCGTCGCTTCGGTGTCCCAACCCCGCTCATTGGTTGCACCGACGGTGTTGACTGAACACCCCGGTCTTCGCAGGAAGCAAGACCGCCTCCGCCAAGTATAGGCCAATTTTGCAGGATGCCACTTGGAGTGGTTTAAGTCTTCTAATAAAGCAGGGAAGGAGAAACAAACAGAAAAACGTTTTCTCACCAGCACGACAGTGAGACACAAAGCTTCACAGCACCTCAGCAGCCACAGACAAGCTGTGATCAGTTCTTAAACGTGAGACGTCCGGTCAGATCCATTGGGCAACCTATTGGAAGCGCTAGGTAGATGATACATTTATGGATGCACTGCCACTTGCGGTCCTCCAGTTGAGTTTCTTGATTGCTCAACGCATCTCAACGCCGCAACGCGCGGTACTTGTAATGAAGACCATTAAAACATCGTATTATGCATCGCAGCATTTGTGACTTCAGAACCTTCAGAAACCTCCACATCCCGCTGAAACGAAGACGGCAAAAGAAGAACTGGAATGGAATGGTTCCATTATGTTCCATTCATGAGATCATTTTCATGGGGACTATGTGCAGTAACTAGTAACTAGATTTGGTAACTTCGTACTTCAACACCCCTCCTGCTTCATCACCATCCCCACGTGTTACCACGCCTGGCAGGCCAAGAAGGCCTGGGAATCCATCATCCGCGGCCGGTCGCTGAACGCGCCGCCGCGTGCGGGGACGAGCCTGACGATTCAGCACCTCGGTGCCTGGAGACGTGGGTGAAAAGGGAACGAGAGGGAACCATTTAAGGTAGACCTACATGAACCCTACACCTCCAAATGCCTCCTCAGAAGGTATGACTGGACCCTCCTGTTACCCACCCCAAACCTTGCAAATCTCTTCAAGAAAAATCAACTCTTATCAGTTATAGTTGTTTCAAGAAAGGAAGTCTGCCTCTGCACTTTGCAACGCATAAACGGTGTTTTGCTGGGCTCTGGGCATGGAAGGCAACAAAATGGCTGCCATCTCCTCAAGCTCAGTGAAGCCAATAGAACGAAACCCAAATCACCAGGGTCCACCTTCTCAGAAGGTACATGGAGGCCTAGGGGAAGTGGTCCCAACCCGCTTTTGGGGTCATTGCTCATATCATTGTGAAGCGATATTCCTCCTTGTGTTCTCTTCTGGACCGCCAGGTATGCTTTTCCGAGCGCGAAGGAATTCAGCAAGAAGTATTGCAGCTGCAACGCTTGCTGTAACAACATGGCCGGTTCCTCCGGCCCAATGGTGTTCTTCCAAGCAGACCCTGGACTCTCAGGACTTCGAGGCCCCTTAATTGAACGTCACTCCCTGAGAATCCGGCCCCAAAGCATAGGGCATTTAGTTCGGGTCCAAATCCCACGTCAGGGCACGGGCTCGGATTCTTAGGGCTGTCGGCCCTGTCGGCTGTTTGAACTCTTTTTTTCTCACTGGATTCATCCAGACTGTGGGTTCAAACTCCTCCCCCCCACTCTGTGGGAGCCCTCAGAATTCACATGAATTGGACACCATGAGTGGTCGACCGTCTCTGTTTTGGTTTCGGAATTGGTCAGTGATCCAGCGGACCCATACTCCTGAGGAGTGGTCAGCACAGCTGAAATGGTGTTCAACACCAAGAAGCTGAACAAGTACCGCGGGAAGATCGCTTTCATCCGAGCGCTTTTTTTTGCGTGAGATTGGAGTGGCGCTGGGCATTGGCTCCACTTGGAAGTATTTGGGCATTGCATACAAGGACCCAAAGAAGCGCAACACCCTGAAGAATCTCTATGCGAACACTGACGATGTCGCCGGTGGGCTATATTGGTCCTCCAATTTCGGGATGACGCATGGTGTCGTGGAGCTCGACAAGACCACGCGCCAGATGCCTCTTCCGAAGCCCATCCCTCGGTGCTGCGGATATGCTCAGGATGTGATGAAGGTGAGGGAGAAAGAAGATGAAAGAACCCTAGGCCTCCAAGTATCTTCTGAGAAGGTGTTTGGGGATTTTGGGGTGTGTTTGGAGGGTCCAGTCATACCTTCTGAGGAGGCACTTGGAGGTGTAGGGGAAGATGAGGAAAAAAAGCATTGAAGCCAGCAGTTCCAAAGGGCTGACTCATCACATCTTCTGGGGGTGTTTGGATGGGATGCCCCTTCCCATCCGGATGGATCCAGATGGGAACGAAGCAAAAGCCAACCAAATGGAACTGGAAAGGCCGGGACACTCACACCCTTCAGTCTCATCATCGGCCCCAGGTTCGGATGACCGTTTGGAGCGAAAGACCAAGCAGGTGGTGAACTCCACTTCCATGATCTTCCATGATTATTCTTGGGGAGTGTGGGTAGGCAAAGGACCACAACATTGGCTCATGAGCTGCCCCTGAGCGGTTTTCATTGTTCGACATCCTCTCATGCTTCGGCCGCGAACTGGAGGCCAGCTTGGAATCTGCCACCGTGATTGGCCCACAGAGTGTTGGCCACATAGAAACTGCCAGAGCAATCGCTTTATGGTGTTTCTTCGTTTGGACCACCTCAACTTAGGTCCACACTGGGCAAAAACCCAACCAAGTGATCCCATTGACATGTTTGCCTCATAGGTCGTCAGTACTGTTGCGGAGCAAGGTACATCTTGCGCATATGCCTCACTAGCTTTGATCTGAATTTGCTAGTGATTTGCTCACCAAGCTTGCCCGGTGGTTTTGATTTACTTTCCTGGTTAAAGTGACCTTTTTGACCCCTTGGTTTGAGGTGGGGTTCCATATATGTGGCCATGACATGTGATGATACCTCAACTCGCCACACTGCTTTTAATGCCACTGCCACTTCGATGTGAACGACTGTCAATAGAGCATTTGGTTGTGGTGCAAATGCTTTGCCTCTACGGGCTCCAATCTGCGAACATGTTTGTATATAGATGATCCATGCTGTTCGTTGCTTTGTATCCAAGGCTTCTTGAATGCCTTGGGGTACACCATCGACTACCAAAACGCCAACCAGCCACTGTTCGTTTCGGTGCCTTGTGATGGATGCGATGCGGAGCCACAGCTCTTCAAGCCCAACATGTTGGTCAAGGAGCGGTCGAAGCGGTCGAAGGCGGTCATCGGACTCGGATGTGAGAACCCATCGAAGCAGGCGTTCTGAAATGGGCAACGAAAGTGGTTGATGAACCCCAAAGAAAGGTGGAAAACCGAAAAGCACGACGCCGCGAAACGAGGCCAGTGGCATGCATCGCCCTGGCATGCACCAGTGTTGCGTCACAGGATCGGGGAGGCAAGACGATCGCGAACGTCAAGGGAGTTGGCAAGAAGAGCTCCCTTTTGGCCGTGTCGGAAGGCGTCGAAGGATCAGGTGCGGCGCGCGCGCGAGAAACATGATAGATCAGTTGCGTCAGTTGGTTCAGCTACCCCACCTGCAGACTTATATGGACCCTGAAAGGTATCCCGGTGGAAAGCAGTGCGCTACAACCCAGTGGTTTTGACCGTCGTCAATCTGCAGGGTACCTTCTGTTTTCCGCCCACGCGAAATTCTGGACTGCAGTTGGGTTATAAGCGCTTCCCGGGATTTTTGTTGGGGACGGGTTGCGTGATGCACTCACCCGTCTAGATAGTCCCGAGTCATTCAGAGTTGCCAGAAAGCAACGGCTGGAGCTACCTGCCCGGTACTTGTGAGAAAAACATTGTGACAGATGATTTTCCTTCAGAATTTATAAAGCGTATAAAGTATATATACAGATGCATTCCATGAAGTACTGCTTGGATTTCATTTTCATGTCCTTTTTGCACTGGCGCCACGCCTGGCGCCCTCCGCCCCCCCGTGCAGGCTTGGACTCCGTCTCTGCTCGACCGGCAGGAAGGCCGTGCACGCGCGACGAGGATTGCAGCGGTGTTTGCGTGACCAGCATGGTGGGGTTCCTTGAGGCGAAGGTGAGGTCGACTCGGCGCCGACGTGGGGGCCGGTGGGTTCGCTGGTGGGATGGATACTGGGTGGCTTTAGATGGGCACTTAGATGGTAGGGGTAGGGGGAAGGTCAGAAAGGCAAAACCAGGTGGGCAGCTGAAAAAGCCAATGACTTGGTTTTCACCGTCGAGAAGTGTGGGGTGATGTTGCCCCTGGATGTTCCCGTTCGGTTTGAAATCGATGTTCCAACCCTGCCAGGGTTACAATCTCTACGATGAAGGCATCAGAGGTTTCGCATCGAAAGTGTGCAAGCCGAAGCATCATGACTTCGACATCGACGCCCGACAGTTGCTGGTACACCTTTTTTTGCACATGGACACCTGCAACGACAAACGGTCAAGAGAAAGTGTCATAGATCGTCATCCATTGTCCACATAGTGTGTGTGTGTGTGAATGTCATGTTCGTTTCCCTCTCATGGTATTCTTCCAAATGTTGATTACAAACCAAACAATGTATATAATTAGATGGAGCATGATGGAGCATGATGGTGTCATTTCTTTCACGTGTCACATTTGTCGGGATGGCATGGCACAATGCTGTGCCACATGGTCATGGCACTTTCGGCCCTGTCATCCGACCTCGCGCTAAGGTCCTAGATCCCGTCAATTCCAGGCCGGACTATGATTACATTTATGAGGAGGCGCGTCAGAAGTGGCTGAGCATCATTCGCGGCATCGCCAGACCGATCAGATACGACGTGAATCCAGTGAACCTGGTCATTGAAACCGCCTGGTTCGTCGCCTCCAGCGACATCATAGGCGGGACACCGCGTGCGACCACATTGAGTTTGGTCCGAGACGGCGCAAAAGCTTTTTCCTTTCGCACTTACTGGATCCTTTGGATCCTTGGTCCGTCAGGGGCGCAAAACCATCCAAATCCATGAAGATATATTTTGTAGATCATGTTGCAGGTCACGTCGGGTCAAGAAGACGCAGTGGAGTTTCCGCTACTCATTGAATGTGAAGAACATGAAAATAGGTTTACACTCCGACTCACTATCATGGAAGTGGATGGTCCGGCCTCACAGGTAGGATCACTCCATGGCCAAAGCTCCTAAAGCACGGTTTTCTTGGCTTGTGAAATGTAGGAGATGAGGGATGGTCAATTACGGTGAGAATTGTTTGCGAATTGTTTGCGACAAGAGAGAGAGAGAGAGAGAATTTTTTCAGTATTACAGTAACAGGTGGCGGGGCTTAGAAGAAACGTATGTTAATTGTGTTGGGTTTGTCCCGTTACCTGTAACAGTCAGTAAACAAGTACCACTCTTTTGGAACAAGGCCTGCAGCCTAACCATCACCATCCATTGCACTGGTAATCGGAAAGACCCAACTGTTTCCAGTCTTCTGCCCAAGCTTGTTTCGTTTGCGGAAGCGACGTTGCCCCATCTCTCCCACCCTGTTCAGCTTATAGCGGGCCCACCGAAGCACACTTCGTGGACTCGGCGGATGGCAGCTATTGGATACCGAAGAAGGGCATCCTGCAATTCAACCTGGACTTCCTTTTGAACGACCGGATGTCTTTGAAGCAGTTCAAGGTGCCCAATGCTCAATGGCAGCCCTTTTGGTATGATGAGGGGTGACAAACAAACACAATATAGATTCTTCCAGCGACCAAATGCCCTTTGTTCGCTGGAGCTTCTTTTTCAACCGCAGTGGGGACTCAGACAGTCCATGGATGTTTGACCTACGATCCTATGCCATACACCCTGCTTTCGAGACCCACATGGAACCTGAAAACCACGTCGGGTTGTAGAGGAAAATCGTCTTCCAAAGGTCTATGCCATCAGGTTCCATGTTAAATCTTCCCGGAGTGTTTGGGTCATATTGAGTTACAATCACTTTTACCGACTCCAAGGACCATCCCCGACCATGTCTCATCTGTCAGTGCTGTCACGACACTTCTACTTCGCCAGCAGTAAGAACCCACCTTACCCTGATTTACCCTGACGGATATGCCGCCTCGCCACACCAGCAAAAGGCAACACAGTACAAAACCCCTCACCACCAAATCAAACAGCGGAATTTGCAACTTTACAATCATCAGTGGTGTGTGGATGTCAACATGTTCAACCACCTTCACATGGCCGATGTTGTTTTCTTCGTGTCAAGGTTGCACTTAAAGACAAATTCCTCATGCCCCTTTTGCACTTCAAAAAGATTCCCGCGCTCAAATACAAATTCCTCGTGGTCCGCTCTACACAATACAAATTAATCATGGTCCGTTCTGCACTTGTTTAAACGTTTTCCATGCCCGTTTTTCAGCTCAAAAAGTCTTAATGTCCAGCTTGCACTGAATCGCAAATTCCTCATGTCCGTTTTTCCCTTCCAACGGTTTGCCACACCCGTTTTGCAACTCATTCTTTCAAATAGCTTTGCACTTAGTAACAGGTTCCTCAAAGATTGCCCATGCGCGTTGTCCAGCTCAAAAAAGTCCTCATGTCCAGTTTGTACTGTCCTGTTTGCACTTCAAACGCTTTTGCATGCCTGTTTTGCAGCTCAAGCAAAATCCTCATGTCCAGTGTGCACATTAGATCCCATTTTCCATATACTATGTCCGTGTACACACATCTCATATCTCACAGAATGCATGTTCTAAATGTCTAATATGTTTTGTCCTCATGAGGCCATGCCATCGCATGCTTTACCTGTTTTTTTATTCAGTTCTGAGGCATATGTCTTGCAGCAGATGGGGAAGGTGCTTCTCATTGGCCTATGGGATCTCTTGACCACGAGCGCTCAATGTATGGAACCCGACCGCTTCACGGATGCCTACCTAGATGGCGGAGGCAATGTCAGAACGGGTCTTGTGTGAAGACACTGCATAAAGCATCCAACACATTCTTTTGATGCATTTCAAGACACAGCTAAAGGCCAAAACCATCAAACACCATTCTGATTCTGACAATTTTTTGTAGCACACCTTTGCTGTTCTGTGGGAGTGGGCCACTGGCATGTCGTAATCCATGACCAACAAGGTAGAGAATAACTGAAGAGGCTTGTGCAGGTATGAGAGAGCATGCGCCTCCAGGACCATTTCTCATTGCTTGAAAAAAACAGTGGAAAAAAAGAACAACGCACGAAGGCAAAGCCGCTATGGCGCACTATATCCTCTCCCAGCAATGGAGCAAGGAACCCAAGAGGCCGCTGCGTTTGTATCGGACTACGGATCTGATAGGTGCACGGCGTCGGGCGCATCGTTGACGGGTCTGGATGTGCAGCGTTTGGGTGCGTGTTCTCCCCACAGGATCATGCTGCTCCTGATGTTTGATCCATGTGCTACTTTCTGAAATACCTACGCGATAGTGCCCACATGTATATCTATACAATATCTTCTGGCAGTAGTTACAATCGACAACCCAAGTGGGTCTTCAACAGCAGTGGAGCCGAGGGCCCCTTGCCTGCCACCCACACCACTTTCGCGACGAAGATCTTCCGATCACCGTGGCCAAGTGGTTGCAGCAAGGTAAAGAAGGTCACGAAGACCCAATCGGAGCAGTCCCAGAATTCGATCGAATTCGTTTTTTTTGGGGGGCCATCACCCGATAAGAATCCGGGGCCCCGGGGCCCGAAGGGAGCCCATACCTGGAACTTCGTTACGGCAATAATTGCCGTTTTCATGAAACGTCGCCTTTTTCCGTTCTGCGGCGTTCTTCTATATTGATCTCAGGTTGACGGCGTTTCTTGATGAACTGCGGCAGTTTCGGTCAGTTGACGGCAATTTTGGTCCACACATCCATGCGCCTCAAAGAGTCATTTCCTTTTAGTGCAGGCGAGTATGAAGACATTGTAGAGTCTTGCTTGAAAGGCAACTGGACGTAAAAGGCGTCTAATTATATCAGCAAATTCGCATAGTCGTGTGAAGTGGAAAGGGCACCTGATGGAAGTGTCGCATGCTGGGTTTTCGTCGGTTTTCGTGGGTAACTTGACCTCTTGCGCGGCATTGCAGAAGGTTTAGAATTTAAAGATATTTAAAGTTATGGCGTTCTTACCCGTACTTGCGGCGCTTTTCCCCGTACTTAAGGCGTTTTCCCCCTACTTACGGAGTTGTACCCCGCACCCTCTCTAAGGACACTCAAGGTGGCAGCAAGACTTATCACAACCGATCCTTTCAGGCAGTGCGCGATCAAAATGTAAACAAATCCTGCCGTGATGTCAATCGAGACCTTAGACAAGGGCGACAACATGTTGAGAAGTGCTAACATGAGGCTTGAAAACGATGAGATCTGCTTGCAAGTGGAAAAAGTTAAAGGCAACTTCAGGGTATGGGCGGACCAAGCAATATCGGTATAGATCAAACAAAACGGCGATTCTTCTTTTGTATCGGCGTTTTCGGATTGAGCTACGGCAGAAAAAAGATTACGGCAAAAAATATTGCCTCAACAGCCTACGGCAAAAATTATTGCCTCGGGAGGGTCCAGGTATAGGGTTTGGTGAGGGGTCCGTTTTCTCTTTCTGCGTGTGTTTCGGTGGGTGTCAGGTCCGACCCCTGTGGGACAGCCCGAGCTCGGATGCCTATAGGGCCATCACTTCAACAACACCGCGCTGTTCCCGATAAACCATCTCAATGGCTCGGTTGTATTCTTTAGGACGACCCCGTTTTGGATCCGCATTCGGCCGGCAGCCGAATGCAGCCGACCCCGGAATGCCGACGGGTGCCGACGGGCGGGCCTACGCGAGATTTCGTGAGAGGATCGTGTGTTCCTTGCCCTGCTATAAGTGCACCTGAAGCATTCAAAGGGACGGACTCCAAAAACAGAGGCACACTCACTGGTTGCCAGAGGTTCGGAAACACTTCATGACTCCATGTATCTTCCGGTCGGGTGGTGCAGCTGAAGATTCAGATGTCTTCTAGAAGGGAACCCACCCCAAATATACACTCTGGAAGATTAACATGTGATCCATGGAACCTGAAAACCACCGGTTTGTAGAGGAAAGTAGTCTTCCAAAGGTCCATGCCATCAGATTCCGTGTGAACTTTCCCCGGGTGTAGATCCATTGCCACCGCCGTCTCCGCCAGACGACGACGATTGCACCGGGTGGGATGAATGGACCCTCGAGAACGAACTCATGACACCCTGGGTGGATCGGAGCGACACCCCCTTGAGCCTCATCACTGCTGGATGCTCGGCACGGCACCAGACCGGGCCGTTGGGAACGGCTGTGGGGGGGGCAGAGACCTGTCAGACCTGCCCCACAGTGGCGGACTGCTGGACTGTCAGTGCTGTTGAGAGAGAGAGAGAGACGTCAGCTCAATGCAAAACAGGGCATGTGGCAAGCCATTCATTTTAGCGCAGACCCGTGCCGCAAGCGCCCGGCATTTGGTTGATCCTAAGGAAGCCTGGAAGACTACGGCTTCACCATTGACTACAAGAATTGTGATGTTTGGCCCAATCGAAAGGGCATGATCTTTTACAGACTCTTTCCATCTGGTAACTTTGAATTCGAGGGGTCAGCGTTCCTTGGAGAATGACGATGTTGGGTATGTTGTTTCTACTTCAGGGAGTCCTTTTCTCGACTGATCCGCCAAAAAAACGGGTGGGAGAATTGAAAATCCGAGCTCGGGCCCGGACTTCAGGGGTCGGAGCCTCCATACCCTTCAAGGGTCGTGTTGCTTGGGGGACTCTCAGGGATAGCAGATGGCAGACCGAACTGGAGGGTCTGGAAGAAGGGTCACTCCAGGGTTCGTGCGCCGACCTATCGCCTCTCCGCTCACCGGTGGGGGCCTGTCTGATTTTGACACCAATTCATGTAGCTGCATCCGAACTCCTGTCCATTGGGCACCCCTTAAAGGGAAAACCATTGGGCACCCTTCGGATGCATCTGGTAGCTGCTCAATCAGTTGCCAGGAATGTCTCCTCAGACTCTTCAGCATCTGATCAGAAGAAGTACGTCATTCATCGACCAGAGCTGAAGTTGACGCAAGGTTCGAAGGTCATCGCCACGGTGCCTCGTGATGCTAAGCCCTCTGACCTGCGTGCCGCTAAGAAGGACCCTTTATATACCCTGCGGACCGGGGGTCTGGACCTTGGCCATGGGTTGGGCCATGGGTTGGGCAGCGCGGTGGTTAGGAGAATCCAGATAGGTATGGTATTACAATAGGGAACCTAAACCTAATGAATCGGTCTTGATTTGTTGATATGTTTGCATCCTTCTTCCAGGGGGTCTTTTGGGAGATCCCCTATGTTACAAATCCAGATCAGATCTCATGGAGGGTAGACATAGGTGCTTGATTTCATGCAGCTTCCATGGCACGTACGTGGAGCGTGAGTGAGGTCCGGTTCGCCATCGCGCGATCGGTTGACGAAAGGGAGAGTGGTACATGTACATGGTGTTCATAGGGTAGTTTGGTATCCCATACGTCACATATAGCATTTCCCAGCATGGAGCAACACCTGAAGAGCCACCAGGTGACCCAGGTGAATACCCATCCGCCTTCTTCGTTCCTGTGCTACCAACGCGAGAGTTGGCCTTGTACTCCCGGCTCTCGGACGGCCTTGGTCGCCTGAGAGGACCTGCAAGCCTTCATGAACCAAGCTCATCCTTTACCTCCTGCGTAACAAGCGGCCGATGGGTGGTGTGGATCCGCTCTTCCGCCAGCTCCAACGTGCCTTGGAGGGGTGGAAACATGGGTTTTGGATGGTTTTGGGGAAATGCTGGGGAACCTGCGTCATGTTGCTTTATGTCGTTGGAAACTCGGTGACAAGCATTTTCCAGCTCAAGAATGTGCGCCCAGGAGGATGTGAAGTTCTCCTGCTTTAGTTTCTACCATGCACCCTGGGAGTCAAAGACTATCAAAAGAATGGTCTTAAGGGGGCCTGAAAGGGAACTTCCTTTGGCTGGACTTCAGCAGGGTTTACCCTAAGAATTCCCGGCGAGACCGTCTCTCGTGGTCGAGTTGGATCCGATCAGTGAAGTGAAAGCCACCTGTTCCAGATTTCCCTGTTTGGGGTGGTCTCCTTGATACCCCATGATATTCTTAGACATCCCAAACAGGGAAGCCCTGGAACAGGTGGTTTTTTCAGGAGTCGGACGTGATCCAAAAGGGCCATCGCGGTCGGACCTTTGAACAAGAGCCCTTTGATGGTCGATATTCTCAGGGATGGCTTTGACATGGTTTGACCATTTCCCCACGTTTCGTGAAGAACGATCCGACGCGAAGACACGGAGCGCCGAAAGGCCATCGGCGACCGTCGGGTTTCTCTGTCGACACGGAGCTACTGCGAGTTGTGCCGCGAAAGGTGGTCGGTGCTGAAGGAAGAACAATGAAATCTGCGTTTGATGCTTCAATGAGGCACACTGGAATGGTTTGTTTTGAAAGCATTATTTGCACGCTTTAAGTTTTAAGCATCGTTTGCGCCACGACTTGGCACAGTAGGTTGTTAGAGTTTTCGAGCCTTTGCCTGGGCTAAGCCCTGCAAAGCTAAGGGAGTCATGGACTCAGCAGACAACCCTTTTGCATCCGCTTGGCTGTAAAAAAAGTTTGCATTTTTTTTCCGAACACGCTTTGGCATCCACAGATTGCTTTTGCCAGGCTGTGGGTACCCACTCATGTCCTCCACGTGGCCAGGCTCAAGGGCCTTGGTTTTGATCTCGATCGAAACTGCGGAGGTTTCGGAGGCATACATCCCCCATCAATAAGCCAGCCAAGGGCCAAGCACGACAATCGCACGTTGGACCAAAGAACAGCCAGAAATTCAGAGTCATAATAAAACAAAACACATCAAAACAGAACTCGTGTTATAAAAGAGTTGGTTGAAACAAAGCCCTTGGCTTGTGCTTTCCCCAAACCATGGTGATGAAGTGCTTTGCCGCTTGGCTCCTCCTGGGACTGCCAGCCCACGCATGGTGGTGCGAAACGAGTCGAAGCGTCGGATGTCGGGGACGCATCAAAGAGTTTGTCAAGGAGGTGACAGCTACAGATCCTTTTCTGGCCCTGAGCCATATTCACACTGCTGTGAATGACGAGCCGATCGTGGTCGATTGGGACAATGATGGTGACTATGATGTGATCGTCAGGAGCTTCGCCAATCCTTCAACCATTTAATCTCAGCATGTGGGATACCCTCTGGCTCACTGTAAATATGTTCTAAGACTTTGCTCCTGACTGACTCACTGACATATTTGACATGCCGCTTTCCAGCCAGGACACCCAAGAGTTTGGAGCTCTACACCCAAAGAGCTGGCAGGTATGTGCGGCTTCAACCCACTCCATTCGAAGGTATCAATGCATTCCTTTGCAGGCCAAGTTTGCCTTTAACATGCAGCTATTCCGAAATTGCTTCTATTCTTATGACATGGCGTTTGCCATGCTTTTTTGGTCGTATAATATACGTTGACATGATCGCGCGCAAGTGTTCCTCTTATTTTCTGGCATTGTGCTTATATCGCTTGTAACCGACAAGTCGAAGTAAATGCAGGAAGTTCCTCTTCGGGCTTCCAGGACTTGCATACATCATTCGTTTCACAGTTCTGCCAGGGTCTAGCTTTTGCGGCAGGCCAGCCATCGTGGATTGGAATAGAGATCAACGGCTCGACTTGATTGTGGGAACCAAAGATGCTCGGCTGCTGTAGCTCCACATGTTTGTGTCCTGCGTTTCCCTCACTAACTAATCCGGTCCATCTATTAATAAACACGGCCCCCCCCCCCCAATAAGAGAAACTCGGTCGCATTTTTTCTAATAGGGGGTCCCTGAAATCGGGAGGGTCCAAAATAGGGTCACCTGGGAAGAGCTTCAAAACGAAAAGGCATCTAGAAAAAGTCCTCTATTAATATTAAACTCGTGTCAAAAATTCAAGAAACATCCGGATCGAAGGGGTCTTCCTTTTCCCCTACAAAAACTTTTATTGGAATACTGATTCTTCATTAGACTATCAAAGCTGAGTCCGTTTGGCGTGAGTGCGTGCCATTGGAGGAAGGAAAACCTGCTGGTGTAAACGCTGCGTGTCATGGTGGATACACAGGGCGGACAGGTGTGGGCAGTTGCGGTTGTTTTTGGAACCTAATAAAAGAAACTACCCCAAAATCGACCATGTTGGTAGTTCAGTAGTGGTTTGAAAGGGCGGTAATTTAAAAACAAATATAAATCGAATTTAGGGCTTCGGACGTGGTGTTTTTTTAATTGGGAAGTGTTTATTAATAGGTACTCAGGATTATATAAGTATACTTGAGTGTATACAGTGTACGCTTGTTTTTCCCCAACCAGTGTGGACACACTTAGGGGTTCTTACAGTGAGGGAAAGGAAGCTGATGCTTAGATCGCTGAAGCGCGCGGACGTGACCAGCTAATTCGCTGCTATTTACAGTACATTTATGCCTCTCGACATCGTCAATGTGCATTTGGACTGCGCAGGCTCGCAGAATCTGGGGGCCGGCGGCGGGTGCTTCTAGCGACTGCGTTCTGGTTGTGGTGCCGTGCGCATTTTTTGGCAGGCACAAGGGAAGTTCTTTGGTGGTCCAAAGTCCAAAGTCGACTTTTCGTGACAGGTGCAAGGGATCGGAGCTGTTTTCGTCGCAGGTGCAGCACTTTGGACATGGTGGTGATCGTCGAGGAGCTCAGATTTCGTGACAGGTGCAGTGAATCGTGACTTTTGGACATGTGGCTCGTTTGCAGATTTCGTGGCAGGCGCAGCACTTTGTGAGCCTCGCAGTGTAGATTTCGTGGCAGGCGCAGCACTTTGTGAGCCTCGCAGTGTAGATTTCGTGGCAGGCGCAGCACTTGATAAACCTCGCAGTGTAGATTTCGTGGCAGGCACAGCACTTGGTGAACCTCGAGTGCAGATTTCGTGGCAAGCACAGCACGTTGTGAACCTCGCAGTGCAGATTTTGTGGCAGGCACACCACTTGGTGAACCTCGAAGTGCAGATTTCGTGGCAGGCGCAGCACTTTTGTGAACCTCGAAGTGCAGATTTCGTGGCAGGCGCATCGCTTTGTGAACCTCGAGGTGCAGATTGCGTGGCAGGCACAGCGCTTGGTGAACCTCGAAGTGCAGATTTCGTGGCAGGTACAGCACTTGGTGAACCTCGAAGTGCAGATTTCGGCGCAGGCGCAGTACCTCGAAATGCAAATTTCGGTGCAGGCGCAGCACTTTGCGCTCTCAGATGCTCACTCTCTCACTCTCTCACTCACTCTCATCCTCACTCTCACTCACTCACACACGCTCACACTCTTCACTCACACCCACATTCGCACTCACACTCACTCACTCTCACCTAACTCTCACTCCCACCACACACTCACTCACTCTCACTCTCACCCTCACCCTCACTCTCACTCTCACTCTTACACCCACTCACTCACTCACTCACTCTCCCACTCTCGCTCTCACTCACTCTCCCACTCTCACTCTCACACACTCTCACTCTCACCCACACTCACTTCACTCTCACTCACACTCCCTCTCAAGCACACCCACACTCACTCTCACTCACACTCACTCTCACTCACTTCACTCTCACTCTCACACACCCCCACTCACACTCACACCCACTCACTCTCCCACTCTCACTCACACTCACACTCCCTCATGACACTTTCACTCTCCCACTCACACTCACTCTCACCCTCACTCTCACTCACACTAACACACACTCACACTCACACTCATCCCCACCTTCATCACCACCATCGCCTCCCTGGACCCAATGCACCTAGATCTCGAGACTTTCGGCTTATAGACCTCACACACACACACTGTTTAAGGGTCTCTTGCCAGGATAATTTCCTTCTTTTGCGCACGCAGTCAGGATGGCATCAAGTACTATCAAAGACACTCTTTCTCTGGAAGAGTCCACGAGATAGTTGACAACCCCTTCGTCAACATCTCTGCAGGTGGATGCGCCGATCTCGCAGTAGCAGATTGGGATGGGGATGGAAATTGGGATTTGCTGGTGGCTGATATGGATGCCCCCATGGTCCATTTTGAGCAGTCTCAAGGTAGACTGGTGCGCGTGGAGAAAGCTGCCAGCCCGTTTCGTGACATCATTGACATGGCAGAAGCCAAGCACCTCAGACCCTTAATGGCAGACTTCAATGGAGACGGCCGCATGGATTTGCTTCTGATGCCCAAGATTGCAGAAAACCATTTCTTGAATGGATCACCGGATCCTTTTTACATTCGTGATTGGCGTTGCGAGTTCTTCCTTTATCTTCAAACTGGAGGAGGCCAACTGAAAAAAGTTGATATTCCATACTTGAGAAACCCTGCTTGCTCCTTTGCCGGTGGCAATGGTGCCTCCCTGGTTGATTTGGACAATGATGGTGATTTGGACGCAGTATTTGGAGCACGTGAAGGTCCCTTGCTTGTCTATGAAAACAAAAAAGTGCTTGGTCAGCATATCTTGTCGCCGCGTGAAATGCCTGCCGGAATGCGCATGGACACCATCCTGGAGAAGGGAGGGCTTTTCAATTACTTTTACCCCGTGCTCGCCGACTGGGACTTCGATGGTGACCTTGACTTGGCTTTAGTCACCATACTTAGCAACCTTCAACCACGATTCTTTGAGCATCAAGAGGATCATACGGTCATTGAGCTAGATGGCCCGCCGAACATCTCCTGCCCCATTGATTGGAGCAAGCCCTTCAGCATGCTCGATATGAACGGGGATGGAACTCTAGAGATGGTGGGCCGTGGCACGGGGCGTATGTATGGCACGATCGTTTGCGCACGGAACGGCACCGACTTGGTGGATTCCAAATGTGAGATGAACCCTTTCTGCCTTTGGGCAGTGATTAGGACATTGTTTGTTGTTTTTGGTTTGTGGGGGGAACATCCTTATATTCACATCCTGATAGGATTTCATGAGAGTTCAGCATAGACGGTCCTGTGGGCATGCAACGCACAAATCGAGAAGTGAACTTCATGGCCATAACAAGGCCCAAGCTTTTCAGCGAAAAGGCGCATTTCCGATTTTCATGGTAACGGAGCCCTGGCCGTAAGAGCCGGGGCTCCCTACCCACGTGGCATTACGAGCACCACGATTTCCTCTACCAGGAGGACACGTTCGAGAGGGACATCCTTTACGGCGCTGTCGGTAGTGGAGCTCTTGATCCTCTCAGGCTTGGCGGGCGGTCTTGGTGCTTCAGCAAGACAAGAAGTCCAATACTACCAATCCAACTCACTGCTGCCCAAGGCCGGTAAAGTCAAGCTCGGGTATTTGCATACCCTCGAGACTGAGGCCTAGCTGGGACGACGAGTGAGGTGGACGAAGAGCCAAAAGGCTGTGAGAGCTTGTTTGGCCCTGAGGAGGAGAGAAAACTCGACTGAGCTGAAGGAGGTGATCGTGGTGGTGCCTAGCAAGTGGCGGCTGATCAAGAAGATCGAGCAGCTGAAGGAGGAGACCAAGGAAGAAGATGAACGCTGATTCATCAGTGGCGTTTCTGGGAACTACTGGTCTATAGTGGACTGGAGTTTGGAAGCGAGGAGACGCAGGCTGACGACCAAGACCTACTACCCCAAGGTGAGCTCTTTGGGATCAATGGCTGAGGAAAGCCTTCGTTTGGTGACCGTGAATCAGTCAGCGCAGGGCTGGAGCAGGCGTTTGAAAGCGCCTGACGTGTTCAAGCTTATGGAGCGACTGGAAGCTCTCGTTATTCCTGAATTATATCAAGAGCATCGACCCATCTATGGCCAGCAACATGGACCTGGTGGAGAATGGCATGAATGACACCTACTCCCTGGAGGACATGACTGATGAGACAAAGGCCAAGGCTGTGAGATTGTACAGTCTGCTGACATCGTTCCTTCGTCAGCGGCCATTGAAGTTGATCAGACATGTCAAGCACGAGAACGGCTTCGAGGCTTGGCAGGCAGTCCTCAAGGAGATGCAGCCGGCTACGAGGGCCAGATCACTAGCCCTCTTGAGCCAGCTTTCGGGGATTCAGCTTGCAGAAGGGAAAGCAGTGTCAGAACAGCTGCCGCAGTTCGAAGCACTGGTCCAAGAGTATGAGCAAATTTCAGGGCAGTCATACTCCGATGATCTCAATTTCTGCTGTGCTTTTGGCCTGTCCATTCGACAGCATTTGCACTTGTGGTTGACAAACACCACAACCTATGAGCAGCTGAAGGAGCGCATTGTCCAGTTGGAGGCAGTGACAACCACATGGGACTCATCGAATAGCGTGATGCTTCCTACAAGGGCATCAGCAGACGAGGCCACCCCTATGGAAGCCGACTACATTGGCAAGGCCCATGACAAGGGCAAGAAGGGTGGCAAGGACAAAGGCAAGTCCAAAGGAAAAGACAAAGGCAAGAGCAAAGATGGCAAAGGAGCATGGAAAGGAAGTGACAAAGGACGCTTTTGTGGGAGAAAGGTCCAGGGAAGAAAGGAAAGAGCCCAGACAAGAACGCTAAAGGTGGCAAGTCAGGGACATGCCATGTCTGTGGGAAGATGGGCCATTGTGCCAAAGACTTCTGGAAGCGAGTGAGCCAGATTGAGGAGCAGCAGACGACCAACCCTGGTGGTGCAAATTCATCGTCGACTGGACAAACTGGAACCACTGGGACCTCATCGACACAGCAGCCCTCTGTGAGGATGGTTCGACTTCAGACACCACCAGAGGCAGCGTCTTTGGAAGTGTTTGATTTGACCACGCCTCGAGAACAGGGTGGAGAGGCTGCCTGCCCATGGAGAGTTGGAATGGTAAGAGCAGCTGACGAGGAGGTTGACGAGTTCTATGGGATTGAAGAGGATGGGCACAATGACTGCTATGAGCCTTCAGTCGAAGTGCCTGGACATGTGGCTATCGTGGCCATGGGCCTATGGGATGACGAGATGGAGGTGAACATGGTGAAGACCGAACAAGGATGAAGAGATGAGCGGGGCAGACATTTCTGTTCTTCCCCGTGACTATGCTGGAGTTGGCACTCAGATTCCTAGCTCGGGAGAGCTGAAGATGGTGGACGTCCAGGGAACTCGAATTGCAGATGATGGTGTGAGGATTAGATGGCAAGGTCATCGAGATTGTGGAAGAGTTAACTCGTTTTGGGCAACGTACATCACCCCATCCTATTTGCAGGACGCCTATTGAAGAAAGGATGGAGCCTTGGTGGAGTTGATGGGCAACTGCACTTGAAGCACGCTTACCGGAGCATCGAGATCCCTTGAACACTGAGACGAGGAATTCACTCCAATTTTATTTAAAGCCCGCATCTTCGCAGTGAAAGCCCCTGAGAATGAGGTGACAGACAAAGAGACACGGGTTTTCACTTTGTCACTTTGTCGGCCTGGAGATGACCCCTGGCTGGCATTGATTGCCAAATGGAGTGCTGGTTTACAGTGATGCAGTGGCCTGTCAATTGACCAACCCGGAAGGCAGCACCGAGAAGCAAGGCACGATTGACCCTGGTGAAGAACAAAGATGATGACGCATGGACGCCGTTGGAAAATGTCACCAACCAAGCTCAAGGACTCTTGGGAACCTAGGTCTGGGGTACCGATTTCACCGTACCCCAACACTGAACAGTCCTTTGGGCATGTGGATTGGTCACAAAACGATGCAGAGGAGATGGACGAGCACGTCGAGAAGACAGTGGTGGCCGAGGAGCCGAGTGAAGTTGAGCTCGACCAAGTGGTTTTTCAGACAAGATGAGTGAAGGAGTTCCAGATGGCTTGCAAAGAACGACAGCTGCTGTGGACCGGAAGCAAGAACAGCGGCTACTGGCCTTCAAGATCAACTTGGAGACGTAGATGCTCCTTGCCGCAGCAAGCCAGAGACCTCTGACCCCATGGTGTCAAGCATGTGTTGCGTGCAGAGCAAAGGAGGACGAGAGCAAGAATGTGGATGAATAGGAAGACATTGAGAAGAACATCATCCAGATCGACTTCTTCTACACGTACACTGGTGAGGAAGGTGCTGGAGAGGCAGGATCAGTTTGCGACCTGCTTGATGGTGTCCAGTGAGACCGAGGCGATCCATGTGGTCCGTCTTGAGACCACATGGATCGCCTCAAGACGGTGACTGAGGAGGTTGGTTTTCACGTGCCACAAGATAGATTTTGAGGTCCGTCCAGCAAGTGAGAAGCGTGATGGGTCTGCAGACTGAAGTTTGTGTCGTGGGCACAGGGCAGCATCCTTCGAATGGCCAGGCAGAGCGAGCTGTTCAAACTGTTCGTCGGCTAGCGAATTGTCTCAGGGCATTTGCTGAAGAGCGTGCACGAATCAACATCTTGGGGGAACTTCCATCTACCCCCTTGTTCAAGCACGCGGCCTTCCTGCTCAACAGATTCAGGGTGCTGGATGGATGCAACAAGACTAGCTATGAACTAGCTACAGGGCATCCATATCGGGACACATTGGCGCTGTTTGGCGCATGTGTGATGTTCAAGCGCATGGTGCAATACAGGTACAAGGCAGTGGCGCTTTCGAGACTGGGCATTTGGGCAGGAAAGCATCTGTGGACTGACTGCCACGTCCTGCTCACTGAGAATGGCGCTTTTGAGGCCAGAACCATTCGGAGATTAGCTCCTGAGGATTCCTTCAAGAACGCTGAAATTCTTTTTGCCAAAGGTTTGCCCTGGAGATACTCACCGCAAGGCATTCTGAAGAAGCATGTTTGCCCACCTTGGTGATGGAAGCCAGTGAAGAAGACATGAAGCAAATTGCAACTGATGTGGCTGCTGGTGTGGTGACTCCCGCACCACGACTTTCAGCTTGGCCTTCGCCTGGAATTGCAAGTGCAGCCCGAAGCACTCCGGCTCCTATGATACTTAAGGAGCCAAGGAAGAAATGGAGAAGAGACCTTTGAGTGAGGAGGAGATCTTTGACGACAGAGAGAACAAGAAGTTAGATAGCACTGATTCACCTTGTCGAGGATATGACCAAAGGGCCATTGAAATGAGTGATGAAGAGATTGAACCGCCATCATTACCAGAACAGAAACATCATTACCAGATGCTGCAATGGGCTCACGCCCAGTGGAAGCTTCACCAAGGACTTCGCCTACAGGATCAGGAGCATTGTATCCTCCATACTATGCTGGAGTGGACGCTCACGAAGCTCATGGAGACGAAGAAGTTGGAGCCGACCTGATTGCTGAAGAAGTGATGGACGAAGAGTTATGGGGCCATGGAGGTGAAGAAGGAGATGATCCACGAGAAGTGAGCTGGCGAACCTTGTTGCCGTGGCAAAAGACAAGGAGACCACGAGAATGCTTGAGGTCCCAGCGATGGTGGAGGTCGAGCCAGAGGAAGTGGAGTTGAGTGGTGGATATGTGATCTCGACCAAGAAAGTGATGCGCTGGAAGTTTCGTCTAGAACAAGGTGGATTTAGAAGAGCACGGCTATTGACGTTTGCTCCCACCTCCATGATGATCCTGCCAAAGATGCTCAATACGCCTCATGATGAACGTCTACCTCAACTTCGTGGCGGTGACGTTGGACGTGAAGGACGCATTCCTTATGTCACCACGGCCTGGAGAATCTTCAAGCTCCTACGATGTTTGCCGGGTCAGAGTCAGAGGACAGCCGCATCACAGTGGCTCCACCTGTTCGCAGGAACATGTTCAGAGTTATGGGGTGCAGCAAGACCCAGTGCAGACTCTGCTGTTCATTCCTAAAAAGCTGTATCTTACAGTTCATGTGGACGACGTATTCATGGTGGGGCGCGCAGACTGGGTCAAGGAGTTCGTGAACTACCTGAAGGAGAAGAAGAGCTGGAATGTCGAAGAAATGGGACCCTTCATGACAGGAGACAAGTTCTACTGCCTGAAGGGAGGGTTCTCTCTAAGGATGCGCTACTGCGATGTGAGGTGCGACCAGAAGCAGTACGACTGCTTTGAGAAGGATGTGGACTTTCTCGAAGTTCTACAGGAAGACAACTTTTGGATCCCAACTTCACAAAGAGAGATGAGTCACCTTTGCTTTCAGGAGGAGACATCAGCAAGTTCAGAAGCATCGCGGGCAGGCTGATGTAATGTAACTGTATCTGTCAGGAGAGATTGCCATCCAATGTTTGGCAAGGCACATGGCCGAACCTACTGTTCAGGCGATGAAACATGCATGGCATGTGCGCTCCTACCTCTTTGTCACTGGTGGCTATGGCGCCAGGATCGACAGCAGAAGCCGTGGCCAATCCGTGATGGACATGAGGAACATCTTCTGGAAGTGGTGACGGATGCTGGCTACGCAGGCAATCAATATGACCGTAAATCGACAAGTTCCTTCCAGAGACGTCTATCGATGGCAACCTGATGGAATCGAAGGTACAGTCACAGAAGGCCGTTTCACTGTCTTCAGGCGAGTCAGAGTTTGTGGCCATGGTGGGATGCTCAGAAGGTCTACTGATCAAGCATCTTTGGGACCAGCTGACTGGCAAGAAATGCGTCATGAAGGTGAGATCAGATAGCTCAGCGGCAAGAGCCATGGTGCAAGGACAGGGCATCGGCAGGGTACGTCATTTGGATGCCTCACTGCTATGGATCCAGCAGAAGGAGAAGGAGAAGGTGATGTCCGTTGCCGCAGTACCCTCAGAGCTCAACAGTGCAGACCTGGAAACAAAGAAGTTGACCCAGAATAGGCACAGGGCATTGCTTTACATGCTCAAGATGGTGGATTCAGTCGGTAAGTGTCAAGAAGTTCGGCAAGAACAAGGATGCTGATGCTGATGAGCACACTCAGCAAGGCAGCTGGTGCACCTGCAGGTGGAGAAGAAGTTCAAGTACAAGAAGGGGATTGGGGCTGGATGGCCTCATGCTGTTATATGCGCAGTCATTGGGGCCTTGAGAGCGCTGAGTTGGCTGCGTGCGGACCATTGCGGACCTACTGGTTTGAGGTCTTCAATGGCATGGTTGGCTTCGTGCGGGACTCCGTGAAGGAGATGCTCAAGGAGAAAGAGATCTCAATGAAACTTGAGGTCAAGATGGTGTACACGGAGACACAAGTGGCTATATGGATAGAGCGATCTCCCTACCTGGAAGGCTAGTGACTATGAGCGAGACCTGCTGGAAGCCAGAAACCAATGCTTCAGCCAGGAGATCTACATTCTACATTGAAGAATTGGAAGAGCGTCTGAAACGAGTACAGGAGGGCATGGATGAGTTTTTACTCCAAGTCCGGAATTCAGATGCTCGTGCGTCGAAGCTAGAAGCCCAGTTGAACCGGATGCGAATGACGGCAACTGGAAGAGTTGTCCATTGTCCCCCCAACTGCCAACATGTGGGCGTGCTCACAGGAAGGAGGAGTGATACGATTTTATGAGAGTTCAGCATAGACGGTCCGGTGAGCATGCAACGCACAAATCGAGAAGTGAACTTCATGGCCATAACAAGGCCCAAGCTTTTCGGCGAAAAGGCGCATTTCCGTTTTCACATCCAGAAGGAGAATCCACCTGCTTTTCAAGCAGGGGCAACATGAAGATCATGAAAGCTGGCTCTCTAACTAGAGACAACAAGTGGTCCAGTTCACTGGGGTGTGAAAACAATAGTTTTCTGCGGGTTGTGCCTTAAACCAAGTCTGGAAGTCTGGGGTTCATGTGATTTGCATGGAATTGCCACACGAATTCGTGCTTTGGCTCCGGCTGGCGGTCCTTGAAGCCAAGGGCAGTTCAACGCAAATGAGCAAGAAGGCTGCATCAGCTCAGGGGCAAACAAGATCACCCAAGGGCAATTCCCTTCTTGGTTGGATTGGGACGGAGATGGAGATGTGGACGTTTTGAAGGTTGCTCGGCCAGGTGAACTACACCTTCATGAGCAGCTCTTCAATGGCACCTTTGTGTTGAAGGTCCTCCCGGTCCCTCCAGTCCGTGACTATACTGCAGCTGATTTTGATGGAGATGGTGATGTTGATCTCTTGATTGCTGTGCCCAAGGAACCTGGCTGCAGGTACTTTGAGCGCACAGGCGATGGAAGCCTCAAGGAGCTCAAGGGAAACGACAACCCATTCAATTCCGTTTGCGGTTCTACCGGCTCACTTGCAAGCAGCGCCCTCAACGAAGAGTTCAAATATTTCACCTTGGGAGATTGGGACCAGGATGGTGATATGGACATGATCGTGGTGGATGCTCATGATGGGGTACAACTGTTCAAGGCTCAAGGCGTCAACCATTTCTTGGAGACACCCAACTCTCCTTTCTCGACCATCTCCTTGCCCGACAACATGATGGTGAGCTTGGCAGATCTCGATGCCGATGGTGATTTGGATGTAATTGTTCCTTCACATACATACCCTAAAGAGTGCTGCGACATGGAGTACAAATATTTTGAGCGTGTGGCCAGTGGAGACTTGGTGGAACTTCATATGGCCGTGCCGCCTCTGAGGGCCGTGCCGTTGACATTCTTCGAGGGGGGTACAAAGAGCCCCTTTGTGTTTCAACGACACTTGGTTGCTGACGTGGATGGTGATGGAGACTTGGATGTGGTTCTAGGAGACTATTTTTCCAGGGACATCCAGTACGCGCAGCAACAAGATGGCCAGTTCATTTGGCTGCCAGACTCGCGCAACCCATTTTATGAAGTAGTTCAGCAGATCAAGGACAAGGCTTGCTGTTGTTTTCAACTGCTATTGTTTACTGTCAAATTTGCTTTGCCGGGGGGACTAGTAGTAATGACTCGGATTTTTTTATGTGGCCCACCACCAATCAGAAGGTCTTGTGTTGGAGCATGGTCGACTGGGACCGTGATGGCGACTTGGACGTGTTGGCGCCTCAAACCTATGAGGACGGCAAGAACATGCGACTGGCATCACACATGCGTCTATTCGAGCAGGTGAGCGACGGCAGCAACTCCAGTTTTTTGGAGGTCGTCGGTTCTCGAAATCCTTTTGATGGATTGAGCATTGACATGACAGCTGAATGCCCTTCCCTCATTGACCTTGACGGTGACGGAGACTTAGATTTGGTGCTCATGCTTACCAGTAAGAGGTTCGAGTACTATGAACAACGTGAAGGGAGATATCACCATGCTACAAGCAATCCTTTCGATGGAGTCTCTATCAAGAAAGGTTCTACAATGCAACCTTTGTTCACTGACTGGGATGGTGATGGCTCGTTGGATATGCTGGTCACAGGTTCGACTAAGCTCCTCTTCTTTCAACAAGGCTTTTGCTTGCCTGCCTCTTCATATTGCCGCTGGGGCTCTTGCAATGAGAGGACAAATCAATGCGAATGCAACGATGGAGTTGAGGGCCACGACTGCAGCATTTGTGGAGAATATCATGTTCGCACGGAGGACTGGGAGGGTCAGGGCGTTCTTTGAAAACTGATACCCTAGAAGTCCAAAGACTATATTTTGACCGGCTGAAGTAAAGGAAGTTCGCTTTCAGGTCCCCTCAAGACAATTCTTTTTATCGCCTTTGACTCCCAGGGTGCTATCTTATGATGGAAGAAATTGTAAATGTAAAGGAGATACACTCCGTGTACAGTAGTGATGGTCGGATTATGTCGGAATCTATGAACCCGAGTGTTTCTTCGGTGTTCCTATTTCTCACGCAGACAGTCTGATATCACGTTTTGTTGTTTCTGTGCGTTGGTGTCAGTAGTGATGGGCAGTGCCTGTCTCGGAGACTGTTAGCTTTGCACGGAGACCCGTTTGCTTGGAAGATCTTGGAACAATTCTTAGGGCAGTTTCCACTCCAATGCTTCGACTTTGCTGCACAGGCAGCCGGTAAAGGAGTTGTGACATCGTTTGATATTGACAGAGCTATATAGTGACTATAGTGTGTATATATATATAGACTAAATATTGGGCTAAATCTATATTCTTTAGTATATATATATATATAGGGCACTAGTTAGGGCACTGCTTCTCCCTTGATAAACACATGCACTCAGAACACCATGAGGGGTGTTCCACTGCGCAGTCTGTGCTACGGCTCCGCAGCGGAGGAGCGGCTCTGGTTCATCCTGGTTCCTATGAACCAGCGATTCGCATGCTCATCGTCTCATCGTCCGCGTCTCATTGTCTCATTTTTAATGTCCAGGATTTTGGTGTATCATGACGCGTGATCGTTTCATCATAGATGGAGCACTGGTTAGCCCATGTTATTAGCCCTTGAGAGGCAAGAGTCAAACCTGGCATGAAGTGGTGAACAAACAAAATGGCAGCAGCAATCATTTGCGAGTGTGTTGTGTGACGTTTGGAGACTTGGGTGGGTTGGCTGGCTGGTTTGATTGGGTTTGAGTGGTTTTCCCCGTGTGCTGGTTGTCGTCACCACTCTTGCACACACACCGGTGCAAACCTTAACGAGTCATGGAGATTATAATGGACTTGGCCATGGCTTCCTGATCACTATCAATATGATTTGGCCGCTTATGTCAGTAGATGTCGCTTTTTTTTCGATTCTTTGTTCTTGTTTGCCTCGACTTTGCGCAGAGGACACGTGCAAAAAAGTGTCCTGGATATGATACAGTTTCACGCACTTGCAGTCGACGTGGTATGTGCGATGACGATGTGGATGCCAGAGGCAGAGAGACAGCGGCAAACTCGACAGGGTTCAAAGTCTTGTCAGCAACAGGCACTGGCAGGTGCACATGTTCCGAGCCTTTCTCAGGCGATGCTTGCGAACAAGGTGCATGTCCACCAGGGCAACGCCTCGATCGGGATGCAGATGTGGACCTCGTAAGTGCCAAGTACCCGAGGTGGGAAGCATGCGTGCCTTGCCAAAAGGGAAGATTCAAGAACTTCAGCGGTAACGATGACTGCCGAATTTGCACAGGTGGCCACATTCCAGCCGCAGACGCCACCAGTTGCGTCGCTTGCAAGTCAGGCACTACCCCGTCCACTGACCGCAGTGAATGCTCTCCATGTGACACAGGCTATGTGGCAATTGCTGGAGCACCAAACTGCAGTTCATGCCCAGCAGGCACTGCACCCAATGCAGAGGGAAGTGAGTGCATCGAGTGCCACACAGGTCAGTATTCCAGGCCGGGTTCCAAAACCATATTTTGAAGCAAACACGATCACCCGTCCTTTCTCCCGGGTGTCCAGTTTGGGCGGTAGATTCGGCGACTCGGGCAGTCGATTGGTGAACCGGAAGGGACAATACAGGAAGATGTTGGTTGTTTTGTGTGAAGACTTTCGCCCCGAACTCAGGCCGCGCTCCGCCCGGTGCAGCATGTGTGAGCCAGGCTTTGCTCCAGACGCCACAAGAAGCAGCTGTCAGAAATGCTTGGGTCAAAGCTATGCGAATCCAGGGGATGAGCTTTGCCGTGCTTGTTCCTTTCCATCCATGATTTTGAATGATGACAATTGGTGTACACCGATCTACACAATTCTTTTTGTGTTTGGCTTCATCCTTCTGATGCTATTTGTCATGACTGCATTTGGAAGGCTACGCCTTGAATGTCTCCGATGGCGTTTGAAGGATTTGATCCAAGCAAAGAACTGGCATGACTTGCATGCTACTAAGTGTACATTTCTTGAGTATGGCCTTTGCAAGAAGAAAGCTGATCGCCTGCTTAATGCACGGAAAGCTGATGTGAAGGCAGAATCCTTTCAACTTGGCATTTGCTTGCAGTATGTCTTCGATCATTTGGAAGGTATGTACACAGAAAGAGCACAGCAAGCCGAGTGGCGTTTTCACGAATGGCCTTTGACGAAGACTGGCTACCTTGTCAAGATTCGCAACTTTGGACTCCAAGTTGTTGACCCAGAAGCTGCTTGGAATGCGTTGCCAACATGCAGCTAGATGCATGGTTGAGACATGTTCATACCCCTTCTTGTTTGTATGTTCACCATGTGCTTGGAATATGTCTGAATGATCCAATATATGCGTATATATGTCGATGGTTTGGAAAGCTGACTCACTTCAGGCAGCTATCCGAAAGATCCAAATTTCCATCAAGTTGCACAAGTCTTGGCATACGGACCATGGGCCTTGGGGAAGCACATGTGTTGCCCACGTGACGGCCAACCAGATTGTAGTGTTGTGGACGCCCTTCAACCCGAGAACAGCAGTGGCAAAGCCACTTGGTTCCTCTCCTGGGCACCTCGGCTTTGATTTCTTGTGGCGGTGTGCAGCATACAGGCTCCCTGTCATAGATAGAAAAGTGACTCCCCACTACAAATGTTGAAACCGTGCAATTATTTGTTTGGGGACTACTATAATTCATTGAACTTTTCTGCTCTCAATGCAGATTGCACAGTGGCAAAATGTGGTGACGAACTGCTTCCAAAGTGACAAAGTGAAGCTGCGCCTTTAGTTGGTTTCGAAATGTTTCGAACGATATTTTTTCGACCTTTAGTTGGGATGATTGTACCCACTGACTATTTTTCAAGTGGGTTGAAAAGCGCCAACCAGATATCCTATGGTAAAGGAGTGTGTATAAGGCCTTCTTTTTCTCCAGACCACGCGCCGTTCGAGTGAAGCAGAGGTCTGGGGATATGGCTTCAGGACGGTGACCACGGCCCTATCTAAGTGGTGGCAAAAGCATCGAATTGTGTCCGGTGATGCCTGCTCCAACATTTACATTTGGTGGTGCGTGTTCGTGAACAACCAGTTCAGGATGTTGGAAGAAGGTGTGATGGAGCCGCCGGATAATTTGTTCGATGTGTTTGGGCAACAGTTGGAGGGCATTGGCAAGATGCTCATGTGCTTGGACAAGTTCAAGGGGGGGTCAATATACATCACGAATTTGGTGCATTTTTGAGGTGTTTGTGGCATGTCAGAGGAGCAGGGGAGTTTCGTTTCTCAAACATGGCAAGCATCTCGAAGGTTTCGTTTAGCTGTTCAATTCGGAGAATTGAGACCAAATCACGTTGATTTCGACGGAACAGTTTATAATGTAAACAATGTAAATATAATTTAGAGCATTATTTATATATAATGAATATAGTTATATGTGTATTTTGTTTATCTAATATATTAAGATGGACTTGAATATTTATATAATAGCATACTGTACTTGTCACTTACACGCAATTCACTTCAACTGCTGAACTAGATGCACAAAGTTCACTCACAGGTTGACTTGCCCGGCCCAAGCTAACTTGCAAACACAACTTGCAGGAGCTACTTAACGCTGATGTTGAGCACAACACCGGATGCTGAAACGTAGAGACGTAGGCTAGCCGACATGGTGTGTGTGTGATAAGATGTGGTGAGATGTCCTTTCCCAATAACGGTTTGTTAAGAGCTATAAGCGTGACCAGTGATGTTTGAAGTTTGGATGTGGGCTTGCCGGGCTCGCATGGCTCCTGGCGCATGGCCGTGGCATGTTTTGTTGCCAGCACTTTGCATGTCACACTGCCACGAGCACTTCTCGCTGGCAACACGCCAGACCGCTGGACGGTGGGGCTGGATTCGAAAGGGGTGCGGGCTGGAGTTCTGGACTCGGACCCTCAGGAGTATTCCAGCTACGGTGATCCTTCCTGAGCTGGAGGTGGGCGAAATCGAGTCATTGAAGGATTTGACTCGAGAATGCCGAGTGGATGCCGCAGCCGCTTCTGGGCAGAAGAGGACATGGATGGACAGAGCAGTTCGGAACAGGCCTCGTTCGGAACACGGCCGAGCCGAACGAGAAGAACGGGCCCAATTCGAAGAACAAGCAACACGCCTGCCGGATGACAATTGTCCAGCCACAAGCGAACCAAGGAGAAAGCCAGTGAACTAACAACTCACCTAGACCATCATGGACCTTTGAGAAACTGCATTTAAAGATTGTCAAGTCACTTGAGATATGTCTTGAGATACGTTGACCATCAGACTTCAGGTCGGTTTGCAAGGCTGCACGATGTTGCGAGGTTGTAAATTTAATGTTTGCAGTCAAGTGAGATCCATGCTTGCCGAGGCTAAAGCCTCTGTCCAAGCAGATGCAGATGCAATCAAAGAGGAGATCCAAAAGAAGCACCAGTCATTCCAATACGTGAAGCTTGGGCAGCAAGGCTAGCGGCGGCTAGCGCTTCAAATTTCAATTTCTGTCCATCCAAAGATTGCTGTCCAGATGTTTTCAGGCTTTGGCAAGGTTCTTCCAGGTCTCATTGGCTCAGGAACCAGACAGTGGAGCATGCTCTTTGGTGCGAAGTCATTGAATACCTTGAAGCGAACAGTACGGATTCGTCCACGCGGGACGAGGGCACCTCTGGTGTGCCGTCCAGCGAGGAGTCCACGGAGTCTGTTCCCTCCACGAGTTCGACGAAGAAAGGTCCGACGTCGTCAGATTGCAGCCTTCAATGAACGGATCTCCAGGCGGTGGCTGGAACAGACGCATGAAGGCACAAAGAACGGACAGACGCATGCATGTTTGCCTAGGATGCTTGCTTGGCAAACATGCAAGAATTCATTGAAAGGGCGCCTCTTAGCTGCAACACTGGTGATAAGATGTGATAAGAAAGAATCAAGGCACGGTCAGCTCTGGCAGGTTTGGTAAAGTTGAAATGTGCCAACAAGGTCTGCAATGATGCCACAAGCGCAGCATCATTCTCGAGCGGAGGGAAATGCCGTTTCTTTGATTCTGAGCTGCCACAATACCTTTTTGGCAGGGCAACTGCTTCGATCACGCGTCCAGTCTTTTTGGCCAAGTAGTCATCAAGTCCCCCATCCTCAGGATACACCAGGGTCAAATGCAGTGATGTGAAGGAAATCTGCAACTCCTTCAAGCTGGCCGAAGAGTCGAAATGTGCATCGATTTATTTTAACTGTTTGATGAAGTGCTTTGCCTAGAACATGCATCTAGGCCGATCAGCCTTCAACGCCTGTTTTTTCCTGCAAGGGGGTCAGAAGCACACCTTGCTCTTGGGCAAATCCAAATTTTGGAGCTTCAATCCTGGAGCGGAAAAAGGAACATTTCAGTACAGCTCTAGAGCCTCTTGGGTCCGCCATACATGTGCAACGTGCGACGAACATGCTCGGGTCACCATGGAACAATCCGTTAGCAATTGCTGCTGAAAGCCGAGATTGCTTTCTCAGGCTAGGCTGCTATGGCATGCAGGCCCCGTTGTGAAGGTGTTTCTATGGACAAGTGAGCGCATCTATTGTGGTCCCACGAGGAGCCTGTAGGAGCATGTAGCTGTCTAATATTGTCAAACAAGTCTAACTTTACAACTATATGTCAGGACTCTCACAAGGTCTGAAATGCTGGGAGATGTCCAATCATTGGATTGGGGAAGTATGGAGGCTCCATCCACTTGCACCATTTAGACCACACACGCCCCAGCAGCACTCTCGGCCGCTTTGGCGCGGAGGGTGATCGTCACCAAGGACGAGGAGAAACACGCAGCAGATTGTGACTAGAAAAGGAAGCTTCCAAAGATTTTTGTTGGTAGGTTGGTCGTTGTTGGGTGCTTTGCTTCAAAACAGTTTGTACGTGGCGAGCTTTGCAGATTTTGTTGGTAAGTCATAGCACTCCTATACATCCAAGCTGGATCAAGCCTTTCACGGCCTTCATGTAGTTCTCTCCAAGTAAAGATTGGCATGCATAAATGTCTTCAGAAAAGCAGCTAGAATGGTGCGCTGCGTTAGTGAAGGCTTGCTACACATTAGACTCAGACTCAGCAAAGCTTTCCTGGCCTGAAGATGAATCTACTTGCCAGGTCCCCCTTGGATCAGTTTGTTGACCATGCCAAACTAAACTTTGCGATTCAAACACCCCAAGCCAGTGTTGATACCCCACACCATGGCTGGCAAGAGTCAGCATGTTGTCGTTAGTAACCGCAGATGTTCTTCCTATGGAGATCGGTTGAAGTTCTTCCCCCACCGGCCGGGGCAGATGGCGGCACCGCGGACGGAATGTTTGACAGGCACGAGACGGACGACTCGTAAAAAAAAAACGCCCGGTGACTTTAATGGTTGAAGGGTCAGTGATGATAAACTTTTGACTTCTTGCAGAAAGGAATGCACAGACTGCTTTTTATAGCCTGATCAGCATCAGACTCAGGCTCAACACATTTGGGTAGCATTCAATTTGTCGCCTTCTCGCAACTGAGCTACTCAACTTCCTCAAAGGTAACCCAAAGTTTCACCTTCGAAGACGTTTTTCAAAGTGACATCGTGGGGATCGTCTCGTCACCCGATGGTGTTGTAACTCTCGACGACGATAACCTTTGCCGTGAGGCCAGCCGTTTACTCATTGAAAAGCCATGTGCCTCCGCTGAACTACAGCCCCTTGGGCATGAAACCATTGTGTCACAAAAGGATACAATAGGAAAATCACGAAATAGACAGACAGTGAGTTCTAGATCATGTTTGTATGATGTGGACTGCTGATGAATAGACACTTTTGTCCTGTGGAGATGTATATAAAACCATTCTGAATAATTAGATGTTTTTTGCTCAACCGTCTACATTGGCCGTGCCCATGTGACCTGGGAGGTCTTCAGGCCCACGTAAATAGGCCCAGGTTGGCATGCCGCAGAGGGGGACTTTCGTCTAGGGAAGGCGTCCATTTTTGATCTGAGTGAGTACTTATGAGCCCACCACTTTTGAATAGCATGCGAGTGTGGAAAGGAATGAAAGAAGCACGTTCAGTTATATATATATAATGATTTTGGGGCTCCAGTCGTACCTCCAGTATGACTGGACCCTCCTGACACCCACCCCAAACACCCTCTTATAGTCTTATAGAAGGTACGACCGGAGGCCAAAGGTAAGTAAAATCTTTGCTTTTGCGGACTTTTGGAGTCCGCCGGTGCTGCTTGAGGTGGTCTCAATGGCAAGTCGCTCTTTTGGCAGCAGTTGGCCGCCTCATACCGGCCCGGCATCCAGAGCCATCCGGTCTCTCAAACACTCCACTGTTCCCCAAACGATCAGGAACTTTCAGCGTCATAGACTCATGGACCTTGGCTACTGTCAGTGCATCAATCCTGTTCCCAAAAACACGACCGTGTGACACGACAGTGTGTCTCAGGTATCTTCCGGAAACCTCCGCCTTCATCCAATGCGCTCAATCCAGGCACGGTCTTCCGTTTGGTAACTCGGCGTTGGAACAAAGACTTGGGCACAAAGACCGGATCATCCAGACACTCCATGGGACTGCCATATATGCCTACATTGACCCCCAAAACCACCCCAACTGATCGGCATATATGACAGTCCCATGGAGTGTTTGGGGGAGATCACCCGCCGTTCCTTGGCGCGTTCCGACGCTCCCGGCCATGCGTTGGAGGCGTTCGGTGGATGCGTCACCGGGCCCCGATGTCGGCACGAACGATCGTGGTTCCATCGAGAACCCGTTCGGGCGAGCCCGGTCGTACCTCGAGATGGGACGGGACCGGCCCCCGCCACCCTGCCAGACACACCTTCTTTGAAGGTACGACTCCGTTCGTAGGCCAGGAGCTCCGTTCGTAGCGTCCTTGCTCCGTTCGTGGAGCCCGGGAAGACGAAAAGGATCCGCTCGTCAGGATCTGCACGAGCTGCTCGTGACGCTTTGGACCCTTTGGACGGACCGACCGTGACCGACCTCGCCGGCGCAGGTGGCGGAACCACTCGGATTGCATGCCCGCCGTGGCCATGCGAAGATATCAGGCCGGTGGGACGGTGGCCGTATGGGATGGCTTCGCTCGGGGGATCCGCAAGAACATCGGACCCGAGCGCCACAGAAAAAGGAGTCAGGCCCAACCTCATGACATCTCATGACTCAACAATGAAGCCTTCACCCCCGGTTTTGATGGCTTAGCTGTGCTGGCAGCTAAGCCACCAAGGAGTATTGGGCCAATTTGAGGGCAGAGGAGTATGACATTTGCTGCCAGCCAAGCAAGGCGGACAAATGCAAGGAGAAGCCTCGATCGTTCGCCACGAATCCTCCCAAACGAACCCTTCATGTCTACTATGCACGAATCAGAATTATGGAATTGCTTTGTATAAGAATCGCATAATTTATGGATGTAAGTAGTGTTGGAAAACTCTTTGTCAGTTGCCCAGACCCCTCGGTTCGTTGGTGACCATGGAGCTCACAGTGACCCGTGAAGCAAAGCGCGTCACCTGCATGAGTACGTATTGCTGGACCTGGCTTACACTATGTGTTTCTTTTTGTATGGTGTGTTTTTTCCAGAAGAACTCGCCATCGTGGTTTTGTACGCACTGAGTTTGAGCATGTCTGACGAAGAACGCCACTCGTCGCGCAGTGCCTGCGCTGCCTGCGCGCTCCCTCCCGCATCGGCCGGGGTTGCACAGGAGCCAAAACTGAAGGATGGTCTACCACTCTGTGGCTTTCCCTTTGGTTCGGTGGACCATTTACCTGCCTTTCTGCCGGAGCTCCAACTCAGCTTACCCTCAGGTGCGGGGCACAGAAAACACGGGCGGTTTGGCATTTGGAGCACGGAATGGTTGGAACGTTTGAGGGAAAATCCATGAAAATATATTAAAATCAAACAGTCTCTGGTGTGTGGTGCAAGCTTGCACTAGGGCTTTCCGTCGCCGACTTGGATCCACCACGTCGTCAAGATCACACACGTATCGGTTTTGCGAATCGAGATGAATTGAGTGAGTCTTCCTTTCCCCATGTGTGAATCCCCCAGAACTGGGGAATCTGCTTTCGAGTGATTCTTCGCACAATCCAAGCCCAAGCAGATTCCGTGTTGAAACACAACATCGTACCCAAAGGTCCAGGCTTTTTCGACTGATTTTTTTTCAGGGGAAACTTGTTTCGACCGAACCCTTTGCAGACACACACCACTTGTTTCAGACATCACCGTGACTACCTCAGACCGCTAACGCCTGCACTGAGGACCATTGCGCCTGTTGCAGGGGATTGGTGATGAGGTGCCGGGGTTCCAATGCACCTGCCATGGCGGGCTTGGAAGATGTGTTGTTCCTTTTTTCAGGTGGTTTAGATATAGGGATATAGACATAGATATACAAATCCGTACATCGCTAAAAACACGTCACAGTTGAAACAAGACCTGTCCCTAGGCTACCTATAGTATTTTTAAGGCAGCATGAGTTCCCTGAGAAGGATAAGAGTCACACAAACTGTTTCATTATATATGTTAATTTAGTTATAACTCGAATTCCAACTTGATTAGATGATGCATGCCTGGCCTCAATAATTTCTATTGGCCTTTATTTACTTTGTGTCCGGGCAGTTTGATGGAGCTTGCTCTACATCCTGGATTCTCTACAGGGCTTTTGCTCAGGGGTCCCCAAAACGATAGCTTTGTTCGCCGAAGAAGGTTGTTGATCCATGGGACCTTCTCCTTTAATCCTTTCATCCTTTATTCCCGACCTATCATTTTCTGTGCACCGGTTTCTTCCCGTTTTCCTTGTGAATCTGCTTTGGTCCTTCATGTTCACTTCGGTCGTCCTTTTGAGTTCTTTCTATTCCTTTTTGCTTGTTCCATCGGGCCCGAAACCCGAAACCCTGTAAGAGCAAAGAAGGATAGCCCGGCTTCGGCCATGAAATAAGTTGAGCGGGCTTTATTCAAGCCCAAGGTTGGTTTCAAGGAGCAGCTCTTGAACCGCCAAGAGAGGTCTTTCTTGGACTTCGTGATAACATAATAATGAAACATTAACGACACTGAAGTCCGTTGTTGCCAACTCAGACATCATGTCTTGGGGGGCAGCAAGACAGACCTCAAGCCATTTCATGCCCACCCTCCCAGTCGCCTCTATAATTGCTCACGCATGCCATCAAATCCTTTGCTTCTGGCTGTTCACTTTATCGCTTGCGGGATCATTCAACAACACAGGGTGTCTCGGTGTCTCTCAATTTGGAAGTAGAAGTGGAAAGTAAATCACCCATTGGCACAATTGTTTCACAACACTTGGGTGACACAAGCCCACAAAAACGATCCATACCAGTGGTGCCCGACCAGCCATCAGATCCAGGATCTCTACTGCAACAACTCCAAGTGCAGAGTCTACTTGGAATGCTCAGCAGATGCTTTTGCTCATTTGGATTGGACAATATTGGACACCCTCAGCTTCCGGAATCTACTGCTTTGAATAGATTCCCCACTTCCCCGCTTGCTCAATTTGACCGAACACTCGGTGCGGTGCTTCAGGGTGGCGATTCGCAGCGGTTGGTGTCCAGACTCCTCCGTTCGCAAGGTCTTCTTTGGCAGTGACTTGGAGTCTCGCTTGCTTTGGTCTACTGCCTTGGCTGTCTATGTCGATTTGCAGCTGGGGAAGGAGATCGTGGAGTCACGTTCCCGACCTCGGGCAGTCGATCTGGGCGCCGGAGTGGGGCTGACCTGCCTGGTCTTAATGAGGACTGGGGTGAGTGAGGTCGAAGAGTTGGGTGTGGAAGCGGCCGGGACCTGGGAATGTGAATGGATTCAAGCACACCTCAGTCCAGCAGTTCTAGATTTCACTCCTGAGCACTGATGATTTGGCCGATTTGGCTCATAGTTTGGGAAACTGAACTCAGTGGTGAATTTTTGGGCCAGAGGCTTGCAGCAAACTGAGCGAAACCTGATGCATCACCAAGCACGGACACCAAGAATTACATTGGATCGGGGTTCAACTGGTTGTTCCAGACATCATCCCCAGATTGTCTCAGATTGTTTTGAGCAGTAGTTGGGCTGCTCATAGAGATTCAAAAACGCGTACGTGAGTGAAGTGACTCGTCACCGAACTGTGGAACATGCAAATTCAAACTCACCAACGAGATATGTCTACACAACAGCTATCAACAGCTATCTTCAAGTTGACAGGATGATATGATGACCATAGATGAATTCCTTTGCCCACCCGTGTTCCACCCGTGTTCCACCCGAAACACGCAGGCGTGGGGTGGACGTGGCCTGTACCGATGTGGACGACGCGGCGTTGATCTTGAGCTCCCAAAACGCGGCGGCCTTCGTCGCGGAGAGCCGGCAGAAGCTTTGGCAGCGCCCCGGACCGGTAACACAGGTGATGGGAGACCCGTGGAGACAAGAGAGAGGAGGGCTGCAGTTGGGTGACAACAACCAGAATGCATGGCAAGGAGACTTGTTTGTTTTACACAGCTGTTCTTTGGCGGTCTTTTCTTGGTTGTGGTGTCATGAATCCTACTTCTCAGTGCTCGCATCGTCATTGTGCCAACATTGGCGCCCAGATCTCTTTCGCTACCCCACATTGGCGCCAACAAAAACGCCGTCTTTGGAGCTTCCCCAGCTTGGTTTTTCTGGTAATTTTCTGCGGTCATCACTGGTCATCACCCTTATTAACCTTGTTTAATCAGACCCTACGGCCGAGAAAAAGCCCCGGCTCCTCAGATTGGTTGAGAAGATCCCATGATCTGAAACATGATGGGCTGGTCACCAGAACGTCTGGATCTCTTTTCCCCGCAGTGCATCCAGGGGTGGCATGGGGAGCACGAAAAGAGTACCCGTATGGGGCGCAAGTCGTCATCTTGCCAAGGTATGGAAGCTTGAGGGTGCTGCGCTTCAACTACTCCAGCGGCAAAGACACCTGGAGAGATCAAGGCAGCCGATGTGGCGAGCGTCGTCCGGAGTTGCAGCTCTCCCGTTGTGGACAGCGGTGTTGAGCGATGGTGAGCGATGGTCCGTTGTCCGCATCAGGATCCCCAAAGTGGAGAATGTCAGAAAGGCCCGTGCCTCTCCAAATCGTCCCACAGCTCGAGCATGCTCGAACAATTCTTTACAAATGGAGCTCTTTTGGAGGTCAGATCAGATCAGACCTTTTTGCGCGAACAGGCCGCCGCCCGTCGCCAATTTCATGTGTCTTCGCTTTCGGCTCCAGGGGTGGTGCCACCTTATGATGTCGTGGTGATGGGAGCCTCGCCGCAGGCCCGCAGGCTGCTGGAGACGCTGTTTTGCTTCGGGTGAATGTGAAGGGATGTAAAATGTCAGGTCCACTCATTTAGATGATAAGACCCGAAAGGAAAGACCACGAGGAAAAAAAACACGGAAGTCGCTGGACGGCCTCCTGAAGGGAGCAGACCTTGTTGCGCTCCTGAATAAAGCCGTCACCTCAAGGCACCTCCATGTACCTCAACACCTCAACCAGGGAGATATCCTTTTCTCCCACTCATATGGCCCCCAGGTACCGCCTGGAGATGCTGAGACATAAAAGACCCTCCAACTGGGCAGCGTATTTATTTTCTATAAACCGTCTATACCGTTTACATCCGTTTACTTGCCTAATGTTTCCTACAGGTTTTTTGGGGGGGCATGTGGACATCCCCAAGGGTCTTTCCAAACTCACCGGACCCAGCATGGTCCCCAAGGGAGAGCTGCGGAAGAATTTGAACTTCTATGCCAAGCTCTTCCGGGAATTGGGCCATCCTGGCACCCGGGTCTTTCTTGAGGACTCGCAGAGGTGTGAAAAAAGGATGTGTCACGCCCGTAGGTTCGAGACCCCCTTGAGGCACATGGTTTTTTGGGGAAGCACCAGCAGAAGGACACGCTCATTGATGGCAATCACGACTTTGTTCCGAGCATGGAGGGCCCTCAAAACCTTTTGGATCAATGTCCTGTCTCCACGGCCGTTGACACATGCTGCTCAGAGTAGTTTGGGAGAACAGCTGGGAAAGAAGTAACAGCACGACACCAGGCGATTGGAAACGGGGGTTTCCGGACACAGGCAACAGGGCCGCGGTGCCGCGGAACCTCGGTGGGGTTGGCCGTTGGGGAAGGTCCTAAGGAACAGAGAACTCGCGCAGATGGCGCAGATGGCGCAGAAGAAAGGTGCCAAGGTGCTTGCGCTTCTTCGGAAAAACGTGCAATGCATATCAAGAAACTCTTCATTTGGCTAAGTTAGACTCAAACAAAACACAGTACTCACCTAAGAGAGGACCATGTTCAAATTCCACTGGTGCATCAATCTAATGCTTCGTCTTCCGGTCACTAGGGCTCATCAATGGCTCCCACTCGATAGGATTCATCCCAGGAAATCCTGACCCTCCCTCCAACAAACATGGAAGAGGACAAACCCGCAGCTCAGCTTGTAGAGGAAAATGGTCTGTCCGAGGGGCAACGTCCAATTTCATGATTGTTTCAGGGAGTGCGCTGGACTTCCAGGGGGGGTAATGGATGGTGTTGGATTCGCGGCTTTCGCCAGCAGCGAAAGTGACCCAGGACCAGGGGCATCGCGAGGTCACCTGTGCCGTACCACCGGATTTGGAGGCCTCCCGCGCCTTTGCGCAGGCGCGTGACGGAAGTAAAGGCAAGGGTTTGGGCGCAGAAAGGTCCATCAAGGAGTTTCTTACACGTTTGCATCCGTGTGTTTGGTGCGAGCGCCTCGTTCATCAGCGTGCCGCGTTCCTCACTGTTTGCATACAAATTATGGTGGTGGAGTAATCAACTACGGTCCATGCGGTTGGTTTGTGGGGGTTTGGGGTGCAGTGAAAGAGTGACTACCGCGTACGCCCTGTGGAGTGCAGGCTAGCAGTGCTTTTTATGTGGGCAAGTCTTTGTATGTCCCTTGAGCCGTGAGCCTTAAGGAAGCAGAATGATTACAGCTGCACCTGCATAGAGGGAGTGTGCTAGTACAAAGTCCGAGGACAGACCCACACAACATGGCGGGCTGGAGCAATCACTTCCATGCCTGATGCTTCCGCACACATGGTTTTAACGTCGATGTCTCATGCTGCCGCAGACATGGTCCAGTCTTTTGAAAGCCAGCCACCTAATTATAGGGCTTGTGCATACGAGACACATCTGATTTTTGATTTGTTGTTTTCGACTTCCAGCAATGAAGTTCAAGGATGTAGCTGTGGTCCGTGCGGTCTGTGCGTTGTTGCTTTGTGTGTGCGTGTCGTTACCACAGTTTTTCCGTGTGGATCTATCAAGGCCAGTTCAGAAGACTCACCAAGGAGCCCTCGTACAGTGCAATCGGCCACCTGTGCTGCAGACACCGCCAGTAGCCGCTGAAAGCAAACAAGGCCAAAAATACCAACATGTGTCATTGAGTGGGAATTGCCACCACTTGGCGTTTGAAATGTGATGAACATACGAACGCAACGCACTCCTACAGGTTCGCCTACTATAAACTTGCCGAGCCTTTGGCCGTTCTTGCCCCCCGAGCGGCCCTTGGTTTGTTCTGCTATATGGCATGGGCCGCCAATACACCCGTCAATATGTTGGACAGCAGGGACACGCTCCGAAGCAGCGGGCATTGGTCGTTCTGGAGCTCGACATGTACTTGAAGTAGAGACCGATATGTGATCATTGTTCATCATGTGTCATTTCAGTTGGTGTCAAGACATGATAGGCATTTGAGGACTGAATTTTGCTCAGGGGGTGCGGGTTCCGACCCGCGGATTCTAACATCCCCCGAAGTTCGACCGTTCGACCCGTTCGTACCCGAACTAAACCCGTGGCGTGCGCCAAAGCGAGCAGCTTGGCGTTTTTTAACCGTCATCCCCTCCTTCTAATATGCATTCAAAACTGTTCTTCACGATTTGCATGTTATACTAGAAGATGCGTTCCCTCAAAATACATGTCTAGTCAAGGGATGAATTACTTACAAAGTTGGACACCCCCCCTCAACACCACACCCGTCAATTATCATTAGGACTGAATGTCACATTCGAATACATTCGGTACACCTTGCCATAGTCTAATTAGGGTGCCTTTCAAGCGTTTGATTTACATGTATTTGCATTGGTTGGCGGCGGGCGTATTGTAGACTGGACCTAAAGATGCCAAAGGGGGGTGAGATTGACAGAGGGCAAGCTATGCCTCATGCATCAAAAGAAAGCAATATTCAATAGGAGGCCAGGCAGAACTGCAATGGCGGGGGGTGTTGGAGGGTTCATGCTTCAAAGGCCCATTGTTTAAAGTCCTAATTTCAAAGTCGCCGATTGGAATTTGGAGGGCTGGAAGTAGTCTTTCTGTATTACAGTGAGCTCAGTTTGGAGCGTTGTCAGCACCAAACATCACCGCAGCACGCACATTTTTGTAGACTGAGGATTTTGATGCTCATGTTGACCCATTCCATATAATTTGCGCTTTTCACTGGCTGCAATTTTCCTGTAACTGTAGTACTCGTAGTATAAGTACTCCGAGCAGTGCTTCTGGCAAGTGATATGTTTCAATTGCTTCGACTTGCTTGAAGCTTGTGAGGTGGGCTTGCACATGGTTGATATTTTTGACCCTCTTGAAAGAGGGCTTTGGCCTTTGCCTCGTGGCAGAATATATGCATTGGTTTTGCAATAAAAACGTATCATAAAATAAAGCATTATTTAAAGTTTTTGTTATGTATAATTGCAATATATTTAACTTAACTTTTTTCATAGGGGGATTTACTAATGAGATGTTAACATTGTTATATATTACATGTTATTTTGATTAGTTATAGAACAATGTTAACATCTCATTAGTAAATCCCCCCTATGAAAAAAAGTTATGTTTTTTGTTTCTTCGGGGTAGTCAAAAGTCTCAACCTCAAAACAAAAAGACAACTCCATGCCCATGCCATTTGGCAGAGGGGATTTGGTACAGGGTTTTTCATTCTGCTTTCATTCTGGTAGATTCCACAAAAGAAGAAAACGACAGAAGAAGAAGATAGGAGAACTTAAAAGTAAAAGGGAAAGCACAAGGCAAGGACAAGCTAGCAGGGCGGGAGGGTGGTTGATTATTGCAGGTTGGTTTATAATTGCAGGGGGTGGGAGTCTAAAGGGGGTGGGAGTCTAAAGGGGTGGGAGTCTAAAGGGGTACCCTTTGAAGATAATGTTTTGTGTTTGTTTGATAGATTTTGAATAAGGAAACCTAACGCTTTTGGCTACCCAACATTTTTGGAAATCTGATGGGCAAAGATCAAAAAATAAAGATTCCACAAAAGAAGAGAAAGAAAGACAAAGAAGAAGATAGGAGAACTTAAAAAACAAAAGGGAAAGCACAAGGCAAATGTTTATCCATTTTGGAATCTGGATGTTGACACAATTAAACGTAATATTGAAAAATCCCGGCAGGACAAAAAGCTCAATATTATTTTAGGTCTATAATTGATTCGTCATTTTGTTTTATTCATTTTGGGCTTTGGATGTAGACGCAATTAATAATAACATTGCAAAATCTTGGCAGACTAAAAGCTTACTAGTATATCACGAAAGGTAGCCCTTTAGGGGATACCTTGAGTTTGACTTGCGAAGCAAGTGTCGGCGAGTCCGGGTCTAATAATTGATCATTCAATTCAACCCCCCCCCCCCCCGAATTTTTTTTTCAAAACAGCCCCCCCCCCCCCCTCAAAATTCAATTCTCCGCTGGAGAACGTCTTCGTGAGCCTCTCATGATTTCAGGATAGTTGAAACCCTCTTGCCCTCTTGAACATTCAGAAAGAGTGCATATGAAATTCGAACTACGAAATGTGTTCTCGTTAAAATACCATTCTCTCCTGGAGACCGTCTTCGTAAGCGTCTCTGTGTTCCCCGAAAGGATCGCAAGGTGTTACATACCTAGAGTTTATTTTCTTCTCTCCTGGGGCCTCTTAATTCAATTCTCTCCTGGAGCACGTCTTCGTGAGCCTCTCATGATTTCAGGATAGTTGCAACCCTCTTGAACATTCAGACAGAGTGCATATGAAATTCTAATCACGACAGGTGTCCCCCGAGGGGATACATACCTAGAGTTTGTTTTGTGAACCACGTCTATTCTCTTTTGGGGAACGTCTTCGTGAGTCTCTTCTGGTTTCAGAATAGTTTAAACCCTATGATGCTCCGATTCTATGCTCACCGATGATCTGAGCCATGGGGCGAGGTTGTTTCCCTAAGAACCTTTCTGAACATTTCGAGAGCATATGAGCAACGGCTTCTATTTGCGGTAGTGGTGATTGGTCTAGGGGCGTTCCTTTTCTAAAGCCCAATGTCAGAGTTAGTTGGCGAAACGAGGTAGGAACACCCCGAAAACGAGATGGGCATCAAATGCGCCATTTGTTTGCAATGGTTTGGTTAATGACATGTTTAGCTTGTGAAACGAGGTAGGAAGACCTCTCGAGAACGAGATGGGTTTCCACACACCAAAACGAAATACAGGCATGGAGACCGAGATCACACACCAAAAACGATGCGGGCTTGGAGACCGCTGCTGTGGCTCGAAGTATGCCACTCGCGTTCTCTTCTCTTCCCGCTGTCCTACCTTTCGTGTCTCCCTCCTCTCAAGTCATGGTTAATTGATGATATGTTAATATTAGTTAAAATATATTTAGTAAAAATATTTTTGATACATAATATATATATATATGGAAATTTAATGATTAAATGATATATAAAATTATGAATCTTTCTGGTTTGTAATGTTTCGGTTGAAAACATATATAAATCTTTTTGGTTTGTAATGTTTCGGTTGAAAATATATATAGATGATGTATATTATGATATATTATGTTTTGCTTATTGTAGGAAATTATATTATATTATATTGAAATTTGTTATGAGGCGGTTTGTTTTTTGAGGATTTAGAATTTTATAATCGGAATTCGGCGATAAATTGAATATGAATTAAATTAAAAATTAATCGATTGATTGGAATATATTTTTAAATTGATTTTCTTATTGGTTAATTTTCGTTATATAATTTGTTATTTAATATTTAAATATATATAATTTTTTAAAACATATAATACTAATATTTAATATTGAATTGCAAAATATATTTAATTAATATATATTATATTTAGGAATATATCGAATTGGGCATATAAATATTTATAATAAATATATTAGATTATTATTAGGAATAAATATTAATTTGTATTTTTGTTTTATTTTTTAATATAATTATTTTGGTATATATTTATATTTTT